TGGAAAATATGGCCTTGGTGATAGAAATAATGCTGGAGACAATATAATAGAATTTTGCAAGACCAATAACTTATTCATCACAAATATGTTTTTTTAAGCAGCATAAAAATGGATCTCACCAGCTGCAATACACAGAAATCAAACTGACTACATCTCTGGGAAGAGATGATGGAGAAGCTCAATATCATCAGCCAAAACAAGACCAGGGACCAACTGTGGAACAGACCATCAACTGCTCATATCCAACTTTTAAAATATGATTTTGAATATATCCCACCCAAATTTAGAGACCATCTAAAGGCCAGAATCAATGACTGAAGACCAAAAAAAGCTGAAGGATGACAAAGAATATCATATAGGAAGAAAGCAAATGGAGAGAGGGAGAGAACAGCTAAGGACTCTAGACTCATGGAAAGAAAAAGATTGAGTCCTGGGGGCCAGGAGGCTTTTAGAATGCAAATGGTTATTAAAAACAAAAATATAAAAAACAGGAAAGAAAGAAAGAAAAATAGATGTCAGAAGACACTCTGAAACGTGTTCTTGAGCATAAAGAAACTAAAGCAACTAGAAGAAAAGAGGAAGTCAAAGAGCTGAACAAACAATTTCAAATGGAAGCTTGAGAAGACAAAATCAAGTATTATAATGAAATGTGCAAAGGCTTGAAGTTAGAAAACTAAAAGGGAAGAACATGATCAGCAGTTTCAAGCTGAAAGAACTGAAAATAAAAATTCAAGCCTCTATTTACAATATGGTAGGGTTCCATGAGCAAACTCCTGAATGATGCAGAAATCATAAAAAAAAAAATCTCTGGAAGGAATAGACAGAGTCATTGTACAAAACAGTAATGGTCAATGTACAGCCATTTTAAGGGGTAGCATATGATATAGAGCCAATGATACTGAAGGAAAAGTTCAAGTTGCACTGAAGACATTAACAAAGACCAAGTCTCCAGAAACTGATGGAATATAAACGGAAAACTTTCAACACACTAATGCAGGACTGGAGGCACTCACTCATCTATGCCAAGAAATGTGGAAGACAGCAACTTGGCCAACTGATTGGAAGAGATCCATAATTGTGCTCATCCCAGAAAGATATGACCCAATGGACTGTGGAAATCACATGCAAATAAAATGTTGATGAAGAGAATTCAAAATGGTTGCTACAGTACATTGACAGAGAACGTCCAGAAACTCAAGCTAGATTCAGGAGAGGATGTGGAATGAGGGATATATCATTGGGGACTTCAGAAGATCTTGGCTGAAAGCAGAGAATAGAGAATACCAGAAAAATAGTTATGTGTGCTTTACTGACTATGCAAAGGCTTTTGACCATGTAGATCATGACAAACTATGGATAACATTTGGAAGAATGTTATTAATTGTGCTCATGAAGTACCTGTACATAGACCAAAAGGCAGTTGTTAGAACAAAACAAGGGGACACTAAATGGGTTAAAATCAGGAAAAGGTGTGTGCCTAGGTTGTATCCTTTCACCATACCTAGTCAATCTGGTGTGGTGCTGTAGGAGTCCTGGTGTGGTGTTATATGATAAAGCACTGGACTGCAAGGTTGGTTTGAACTGCAAGTTTGGTGGTTCACACTCCCTGCCCCTCCTCAGAAACACTATACAGGGTCGCTGAGTCAGAATCCACTCAACAGCACTTAACAACAACAACTCTATTTAATATGTATGCTATGTAAATAACCTGAGAAAGTGGATTATAAGAAGAATGTGGCATCAGGATCGGATGAAGTCTCATTAACAATGCAGATGATACAACCGTACTTTCTGAAAGTAAAGAGGACTTAAATATTTCCTGATAAAAATGAAAGACTGCAGTGTTCGGTATGGATCGCATCTCAATGTAAAGAAAACAAAAATACACACCACTGGACAAAAAAATAACATCATGATAAATGGAGAAAAGATTGATGTCAAAGACTTCATTTTTCTTGTATCCACAATCAACACTCATGGGAGCAGCAGTCAAGAAATCAAATGATGTATTGTATTAGGCAAATCTGCTGCACAAGACCTCTTTAAAGTGTTCAAGTACAAAGAACAGCTTAAGGACTAAAGGTGCACCTGACCCAAACCATATTGTTTTTAATTGACTGATATGCATGTGAAAGTTGGGCAATGAATCGGAAGAACGTAGAAGAATCAACGCATTTGACTATGGCGTTGGAGAAGAATACTGAAAGTATCAGGGAACTAACAAATCTATGTTGGAAGAAGTTCAGTCAGAATGTTTCTTTGAAAGAAGGATGGCAAGACTCTGTCTCATATTTTAGACATGTTTTCAAGAGGGAGCAGTCTCTGGAGAAGGACACCAGCCTTGGTAAAGTGGAGGGTTACTGAAAGACCCCCAACAACATGGATTAACAGAGTGGCAGCAGCAATGGGCTCAAGCATAACAACAATTGTGAGGATGGCAAAGGACCAGGCAGTGCTTCGTTCTGTTGTGCACAGGGTCACTGTGAGTCAGAAGTGACTCAAATGCATCTAACAATAGCAGAAGGGATACAGCCGATGGGAAAGGAGGGTCTGCACTGGGGTTTTATTATTTGGGAGCAGAAGTAGCAAAGAATAAAAGTATTTTTGCTCAAGAAGTGTGCTCCTTAGAAGGAAAAATGGACAGAAAATAGATATTACAATGCTATATGACAAGAGTCCTGGTGTGGCACTGTGGGATAAAGCACTGGACTACAAGGTCGCTTTAAACCACAAGGTTGGTGGTTCAAAGTCACCAGTCACTCCTTGGAAACCCTATACAGGTCGCTATGAGTCAGAACCGACTCAAGGGAACTTAACAACAACAATATGAGAGAGACAACACAGGCTGTTACTGGGATCCTTGAGAGGAACACCTTGGCAGAAGCTGCCAACAGCTCATCAAAACCCCTGCTCTCCTCTCTTCTTCAAGGTGTACGGCTAGACCACATTCCCAGTCTTCTTATAGGTAGAAGCAAACCCATGTGACTGAATTCTAGCCAGAAGACAGTGGTGAAAGAAACCTGAGCCACTACCAGATATGGCACATAGAAACCTCCCTCCTGCATTCTTTCTTTCTCTTGTCTCCTTCCAGTTGGCTAAGATGGAAGCAACTAATCCCCGGTAAAAGCTAGTAACCATAAACTGAAAATGGCAGAACCTTCATTATTCACCAAGAAACATGTACTTCTAACCTGAACTTCCTCCCAGCAAAAATGTGAACAAAACTAGAAATTTCTATTGTGTACAAATCATTACACAAATTCTGGATGCATTTGTTACAGCAGATGACACTAGCCCAATAATTACAATACAGGCACCTAACCCAGCTTTGCAAACTTCTCTAGAAGACCAAGTCTAGCTTTAAAAGTCGGTTTGAACCACAAGATAAGTGGTACGAACTCACCAGCAATTCCTCGGAAACCCTAGACAGGGTCATTATAAGTTGGAACTGACTTAGTGGCACTTAACAACAACTAGGCAAACATGAGGGGAAAAGATCTTGCGCATAAGAACATTCTGGAAACTAGAAACCAGCACCAGAGCTAGCCCAGTGGAGGTCAGTCAGAGATTCAGGCACCCATGGTGGGCCTCGTGTCAGTTTGGCCTTCTAACTCACGCCTCTCTTCTTCTCGGCCCCACAACAGCCAGGGCCAGCTTATAACATGGGGTGCCGAAGCCCGAGGTAGAGTGAACGGGCCTGAACAGTATGTGAGAAAAGATACAAAAAAAAAAAAAAAACTGCCACCTTTTGAGTATATGCTTCATGGTTTTATATTTATTCTGTTACCCGACTTGTTTTCTCCCAAGTCCTAACAACAATTCAGATATATATTACATTTATAACTGTTGACAACTTGAGAGTTCTACCAGGGAACCCACTGCCTGGTTCGGCTCCTGATCCTGGTTAGACATCCGCCCCCACCCTTATGAGAAATTCTTCTCTGGCTCCATGACTGATTTCCAAGCAATTGTCTGTCCACTGCTTCCTGAAAACAGCTCTGCCATGAGTGAGCTTCATGATAAAGATGGAACGTTCCCAGTGGCTCCCTTGAGGGAGTCTTTATAAGACTCCTAGAGTCCATTGTGGAAGGAGGGTAAAGACAAATTTAACCCTATGTAGGAATTCTTCCAATTAATTTACACGTCTCTGTGAGCTCATCCTCACACCCCTGTTGACCAAATACCCACATTCCCCCAGTTCCCAGCCCACCACCTTACCCTTGAATAAACGACAGCTCATTTGTAAGAGGATTTTAATTTCATCTTGGTACGCCATTAAGGAATGGAATCAGGATCTCTACTGGTTTTCACTCACATATTATCTGCTACATTCTCCACCTGATTTTTACCACAGAGACTTGAGGAGCCACACAGTCTCTGCATGGTTTGCACTCACTAGATTGGATTGGGTTTGGTGATGGTTTGTACACATTATAAACAAGAGCACAAAAATCACACAATGTAGACTCTACCATCAGTGGACATATCTGCTCAGGCATTGCAGGGTGTGAGGGGGAAGTGTTACTGGGTCCATGTCTCCCTAGTGTCCCAAAAGGAGGACTCTCAGAGGAGGAGTCTACGCTGACCCACTGTGTTCCCACCTCCTCATTCTGACTTCCCAAGAGGTCTCCTAGGACAGAAGTATCCTGCTGTAGCACCACAGTTGGAAAACACAAAGTGAAAGTGTCCCTGTGTACAATGGCTACTGGGGTGTCTACATTCAGAGTCAGAAAAGTGAGTCAGTAGAAGGAGCCCTAGATTCCCACCTGGACCACCCCTCCCTCTGCAATCTCCACCAGCCTATTTAGACACAGACCCTGTAAAGCAGGGGTTAGCAAACATTTCCTGTGAATAGGCAGGGAGCAAATAGTTTAGGTTTCGTGGGTCAGTTTCTCTGGCATGTTCTTTCTCTTTTAACAACGGGGATTGTTAAAACCATTCTTAGCTATGGGGTCATTTTGAGTCGGAACCAACTTGATGGCACTTAACAAAAACAACAAGCTCTAGAACGCCACAATGCCCTCCTTCACCCACTTAGCCTTAGTCTCTTCCCCACCTAAGGACTCTCACACCCCTCTGAGCTGCTCTAGCTGCTACTTCGGCAGCCCAGGCTTTGCAGCAGGGACTCTGGCGGGCAATGGCGCTCTAAAGGCAGAGGAGCTCTCCAACTCAACAGCCTTAGCGATTTCCTTTGCCAAGAGACTGATTTAGTTGGATTCTGACTATATTAGGTATTTGTCTCCCCCTTGCTCATCTGTCCTGGGGGTGAATGAAGCCTTGGCATTGCCCAGTGAGGTAGGTACATTCTATTAGCCTCATCCCACACCAGAAGATGCTGGAGATCAAGAGCACAGCTGACTTTTCTATTGTTGTCCAAAAACCAGAGTTTAAGAGGAAAGCCCAGGAGTCTGGACTTTTGAATTCTCTAAGAATACGATTAGGGATTGTTCTGCCCTGTTCATGCCCAGTGATTCAACCCCACAGAGAGCAGGGGCCCACGAGAGAACACTGTCAGCCACAGAGTTACTTTCCAGACCTCAACAATAGTCTCGGAAAACAGAAGGAACTCAAGCACTCAAAGCTATGGGGCTAGGTGGAACAGCCCTCTCTGCCCTGCCAGCAAGTCTCTCCAAACTAAAAATAAAGTTTATAAAAGTAAATCATCTCATTTTATAACTTAAGTGCATCAAGCATTTCCTTAAATATAGTTCACACTGAAAATAAAGTTACTTTTGCTGTACAGTTGACATCTGTTATAATTAGGAATAAACTTTGATGATAAAGTATGAAAGGTTACACACTCACACACATCTATCTATCTTTCAGTCTGTCTACGGGTGTATAGATGGATAGACGTGTGCACCTCTTGACAAGAGCTTCCCCAGAATGGTGGGAAGTTGTTAGGAGTCTCTAGGAATCTAGTTTGCATGAGAATGTCTATATTAAAGGTCCCTGTCCTTAATGATAAACACATCTTCATATCTAACGCTAAGACTCTTATTAGAAACATTAAACTATGCAATCCATAATGTATTCAGTCTTTGGAAATGCCGAGTCACATCATATCATTATACAACAGCATCCCCGACAAAACTCCCTCCCCAACCCACCTCTTTCTCGGCCTCCCCATTCTAATGCCAGCCGACCCCTCACATAATACGGTTGTTCCATTTGGGAGCCTAGCCATGGAATTCAAGGGGAAGACTCAAGAGGTGAAGTAAGAATTCTGCATGGAGTACAGGTGGTCAATGGGATTTCCCACTCTGGACTGCAGGGGTCCAGCTTCTGAGGTTGCTAGGAAACAGTCACCCAGGTTACTGAGGGAGGTGTCACTATCCAGGTCATGGAAAAGGGGCTCAGCACCTGAAATGGAGATAAAACATCGGTATGAGGTTCCAAATGAGTGACTCACTGCAATGCTATGGAAGTCAACTGCATTCCCCAGTGGGACCTGAACAACCACCCCCCATCCAAATAAAGTGGTGCTGTAGAAGGGGGTGGGTGAAAGGAGGGGAGAGTCTATTCAGAAAAGAACCAGTGACCAGTTGCTGTTGAGTTGGTTCTAACTCATAGCGAAGCCCATGTGCGTCAGAATAGAACTGTGCTCTACAAGGTTTTCAAAGGCTGATTTTTTTTTTTCTTTTTTCCCTTCCAAAGTGACCCAGGGTGGATTCGAACTTCCAACCTTTTGGTGAGCAGCTAAGTGTATTAACCAACACAGAAAAAGTATGAAGAGACCAAATCCATTTCCTTCTTTCAGGGACCTGGGCCTAAAGTGCAACTGGAAACAATACAAAGCAGGAGATGACAGAGTACTAAATGGAGTGCTACAAGCAAATGTCAGGATGTCTAGACAATGAGTGTGTGGAGTGGGCAGGAGGCTGGAGAGGTGGGGGAGCAGGGTTCCTAGAGGACTTGGATAACTAGCATGCTTGGAGGGATGGTAAGAAGGAGGGATGGTAAGAAAACAAGCCTACGTTCTGTGGTGGGGGCTAATGAAACCCACTTTGATAACATTTGCCCTTTCAAGCAGCCAGGGCATCCCGAGTGCCTGCTGTATCCCCAAGTTTTTACTACAAAGGAAAGAAAGATCAAGTGCCTAACTGTAACTCACATACACTCTGAGAGAGAAGCTGAGAGCCCACTACTACATTTTACATTCCCTTCAAGTAAATGGAAAGATTAAAAACTGCAGCTTATAAAACAAACCATCTGGCTTTGATTATTTATTTGGCTAAAAGATTCATCACAGGGGTCCTCAATGTAACAAGACCCCTGGGATTCCGAAAATGTAAGGGTTTACAAAACAGAAGACTCTTTTGCCTGTTTTCCCACAGCTGTGACGTGAAGGATGGGAACAGTGTTACATATGTTAGCTAAGGAGACAAAGAGGATGGAAGTCACATGTGTCTACGTTTGTATAAATGAATGAGGCTGGTCAAAGAAGGTTCTGCATAGGGCTAGATCTTAATAAATGCTGAATGTGTGACATGGGAAGGTGGGGGATTCTCACCAAAAAAAATGAGTTTTTTGTTTGTTTGTTTTTTAATGATGGCAAAACTGTTATTTGACAAAATCTGTGAGCTTTGGTATGTCTCAGATTATGTCTCAGATACTATAAAGTGTTGAAGGGTTGCTGAGTAAAGTTTTATTTTTACCAATCAGTGTTTATAACACCATTCTATGGGTCATATCATTGCATTAAACAGGTCATTGATTTGTTCTGTGTATTTAACCCTGAGGTTGAACTTGAGTCCTTCACTCCAGAGTTTGTCCCTGCCTCTACTCAGCAGGGAGGGTCCCCAAGTCCATAAGCAGCAAGCTGGGCAAGTGGTGGAGGCTCAGCTATACACACCCAGCTCACTGCCACGGAGTCAAGTCCAACTCATAGCAACCCTGGAGGACACAACAGAACTGCCCTTGAGGCTTTCCAAGGCTGTCCTGGTGTGGCACTGTGGGTTAATGTGCCAGACGGCAAAGCTGTTTGAACTGCAAGGTCGGTGATTCAAGCTCACCAGCTGCTCCTTGAAAACCCTACACAGGATCGCTATGGGTTGGAACCGACTTGACAACACTTAACAACAACAACAACCTTTACAGAGGCCAGCTGCCACATCTTCCTCCCATAGATCAGCTATTGGGTTCAGGCCTTTTGATTAGCAGCTAAGGGTTTTAACAACTGTATCTTCAGGACTCCTTACTACACACCCAGCATTTAACTCAATCCTATTTCAGGATGTAGAGGGAAGAGACTTTTCATTTTAAAGCAGGGGTGGGGAACGTCTGGCCTGCCGGCTGCATTAGGCCCATGAAATAATTTGGTCTGGCCCTGCCAAGGCAATTGCAGTTCCAGCTATCACATTGGGGTTGAGTTAATTCAATGTTTGATCAAATACAGCAGGCTAATTTTCAAGGTGATCATTTTGTATGGCCCATGAATGATATTGTAAGTTTTGGCAGAAAAAGTTTCCTCACCCATTTTAAAGAGTCAGTTTTGGGTTCATAAATTATGCCTACTAGTAGCTCTAGGAGAATCATCCAATTAGAACATTTGTTTTATGTGCTTTTATACATCCACTTTCTCTAGGGAAATGTTTGCTTAATTAAGGCCTTCTGCCCGCACCAGTGTTTCTATTGCTCGCAAACATTTAAGTGTGATGGCCCAGCATGGAATGCAAGACTTGTGAAATTTGATTTTTAATTTAAATGATTAAATCAAATTAAATGTCAATGATTAAACCCACAAGCTTTGAAGGTAAGCCTAAATGAGAACCGCATAAATGAATATGCATCCTGGTCTTCCTCCTGTAACCGTTGATTAAGTTAGTCTAACACTCTCTTATGCCGGCACTGGTTTTGATTTGAGGCTTCAGGAGCATCAAGAAACCATGTAATAAACTTGGGAGGGAATCTGAAATCTATGTAAGCAAGTTGTGAGAGGTTGCTGTGGGGTTGTAAGTCCCTCTTACCATAGGGGTGCATGTGGTCTCCAGGCATCTGGGGTGGGGTGAGCCCCTGTCGGAAGGGGTCTGAGCTGTACACACTCTGCTCAATGGCCAGGAGCTGCTGTGGGGTGGGCAGAGTGGTGTAGGGGTTCATGATCCCTTCCATCCCACTGCTCCCGCCACCATTTGTCTGAGCTGTGGGACAAAGAAGAAGGCAGGTCATTCTCAGCGTGTAGCTTGGTGTCCCAGGCTGCAAGGAGGACCATAAGCACGCTCAGGGATTTGTGTCCCCAACCCAGCCCAACATTCCTTCCCAGTATTGGCCTTTGCTCTGCTCCACAGAAGAGAGTGAGAGAGGGAGGCCAGTGCGTGGCGGGGAACCCTGGACTAGGAGTGGGATGTGCTCGGTCTGAAAGCCCCACTGGGGGCCATCATATGGACCACTCCATAAGGCTGCAGCTCATGGTAGCTGACTTCCCCTAGGGTGAGTAATCCAAGAAAGTCTGAAGTAGAGGCCACAATTAATGTCAGCAGTCACCCTCCAGGTCAGCCCCAATTAATGTTAGAGGGGGCTACATGGGGTGTAGACATTGGCTGGGAGAATCATCAAAGGCAGTTGGAGGGTGGTTACCACACAAATTATGTGACCCTGGCTAAACAGTCTCGCTCCTCCAGACTTTGGGGCTCTCATTTATAAGATGGAAGGGAATGAGGTGAAGAGAGCCTCGGTTTCCAGACTGTGCTCTACTGAATGCTATCAGGGGTCACTTTGGAGGATAGAAATTGAGGACAGTGGAGGGACAGCGTGTAACTTTGTAAGCTTCACTTGAACAAAGGGTTCGGATGCTATGCATTGGTTTGGCAGCCATTGGAGCACATGAATCTAAAGTTCCTTTCAGTGTTAAACCAATGGGAGCCCCTTGGCTAAATGGGAATCACCACATTGACTCAGCTGACCTCATGAAGTTGGTGTGAATATTACAAGAGTTTCTGTGTAGGTATTACACCCATCTATAAATGTTATGATAAAAAGGAAGACTCAATTCCTGCCACCTCATCTTGCTGTGGTTCTCTGAGCATGGTTCCATCAGCTCTCAGAAAACCCATTTCCTCATCTACAAGATGGAACAACTTTCTCCCAACATTCTCAGCTTTCTGTAACCTATCCTAGTAGCTGCTGTGAGAATTCTTTAAACAAAGTCCCAAGCACTGAGTCTGTGCTCTCCTAAGACCTCAAGGCATCCTTTCTCCTTTTGAGCTTGCTGGCCTGGATGAAGTCAATGTGCATGGTTCTAACTAAGGGTCTCTCTTATCAGTAACCCTCTTTGAAGTTCACAGGGTCTCCACAAGATAGGCTATCAAACATGAACCCACTCTAGGGTTGTGCTGGGCATAAGGAAGACCTACGTTTGATTTTTGGTCAATGTACGTCATGCTATCAATCTTCTGTCAGTGGCATGTTGCTATGATGCTGGACCTTCCATACATGAAAGACTAAGAAGGAAGTTATGGTGATCTACTTCCAAAATTCAGCCAATAAAAACCCTATGGATTGCAACAGTCCAAATTGTAACTGATTATGGGACTGGCACAGAATTGTGCATGACAACCTCATGAGTCAAGTACCAAATCAAGGGCAGCTAACAACAACAAAGGGATGTGTCGCCTGAAGCACATGGAAACGAAAGGTTAGTTGGAGATAAAAACCACTGGGGGTGGAGTGAAGGATAACATTCAGGTGTCTGGACAGCATGCTGCTCAGCCCTGCCCCTGCAGCTCATGTCTTTGTTTCATTTTTCTCTACTTTGAACATCTATCTTGTCATTAAGATACTGTTTAGCCTAGACAGTGAAGTCAAGGGAACTCTTGGATGGAAGAGGTAGGTGATAGTCAAGATTTAGAAAGAGCCTAGTCCAGATGTCAAGCACCAGGCAGAGTCTATGCAAGGACAAGTGACTCTTTTGAAGGGACTGAGATCCTATTGTATGCATTCTCACTCAAAGTGTTAAAATGCAGAATCTCAGGTCCCTCCAAACCTTCTACATCAGAATCTGTACTTTAACACAATCCTAGGTGATTCCAGTGCATGTTACAAGGTAAGAAGTACTGCTCTAAGACACACCTTTCAGGAAATTCTCCTGATGCGTGAATTCGGGTAATAGCCCCTTAAGAAGACACTGTTCTAATATAGTGCGTCTTGATTTTTTTTCTTCTAACTTCCTTGAAATTGCCTATAATCTATCTGTTTTCAACACTTCCTTATTAAAAACAAACAACAAAAAAGACTAACGAAGGGTCCATGCCATGTTGGAGTAAGGGTTGTTGTTGTTGTAAGGCGCTCTTGAGTCTATTCTGACTCACAGCAACCCTATGAACAATAGAATGAGACATTCTCCAGCCCTGAACCATCCTCATAATTGTTTTTAGGCTTGAAGCCATTGCTGCTGCCACTGTGCTAATCTATCTTGCTACAGTCTTCCTATTTTTCACTGACCCTCCACTTTACCAAGCATGATGTCCTTCTCTAGGGACAGATCCATCTGAAGTCTCACCATCCTGGTTTCTACGAAGCTTTCTGCCTGTACTTTTTCCAAAAGAGATTTCTTTGTTCTTCTGGTACTCGGGGGTACTTTCAAGTCTTCTCCATAACTCAAATGCATCAGTTCTTCTACAGTCTTCCTTATTCATAGTCCAACTTTCACATGCATATGAGGTAATTGAAAATACCATGTCTTGGGTCATGGGTACCTCAGTCCTTAAACTGACATCTTTGCTCTTGAACACTTTAAAGAGGTCTTGTGCAGCAGAGTTGCCTAATGCAATACATTATTTGATTTCTTGACTGCTGCTTCCATGAATGCTGATTGTGGATCCAAGCAAAATGACAAATTCAGTTTTTTTTCTCCATTTATCATGGTATTATTTATTGGTCCAGTGATGGGTATTTTTGTTTACTTTACATTGAGGTATACTCTTTAATCTTAATCAGAAATATTTTAAGTCCTCTTCACTTGCATCAAGCAAGGTAGTATTATCTGCATATCACAGGTTATTGATAAGTCTTCCTCCAATCCTGATGCCACGTTCTTCTTCATATACTCCAGTTTCTCGGATTATGTGCTCAGCAAACAGATTAAATAATTAAGGTGAAATAATACAACTCTAAGGAGCTCTGGTTCGAAACTACCAGCTGTTGCGTGGGAGAAAGATGAGGCTTTCTGCTCCCGTAAAGATTTACAGCCTTAGAAATGCTGTATAGGGTCACTATGAGTCAGAACCAACTCCACTGCACATAACAACAACAACTACAACCCTAGTGCACACCTTTCCAGATTTTAACCATTCAGCATCCCCTTCATCTGTTTGAATGACCACCTCTTGGACTATGAACAGGTTCCTTGTGAGCACAATTAAGTGTTCTGGAGTATCCATTCTTTGTAATGCTATCTAGTTTGTCATGATCCACACAGTTGAAAGCTTTGCATAGCCAATAAAGCACAGGTAAACATGTTTCTGGTATTCTCTGCTTTCAGCCAAGATCTATCTGACTTCAGCAATGACATTCTCTAGTTCCACATCCTCTTCTGAATCTGGCTTGAATTTCTGGCAGTTCTCTGTCAGAAATTTCCTGCAGCTGTTTTTGAATAATCTTCAGCAAAATTATGTTTTCATGTGATATTATTTGATGATTTCTGCATTGTATTGGGTCACTTTACTTTGGAATGGGCTCAAATATGGATCTCTACCAATCAGTTGGCCAAATAGCTGTCTTCCAAATTTCTTGGCATAGAAAAGTAAGCATCTCCAGTGTTGCATCAGTTTGTTGAAAGATTTCAATCTGTATTCCATCAATGCCTAAAGCCTTTTTTTTTTTGCCAATGCCTTCACTGCAGCTTAGATTTCTTCCATCAGTACTGTGGGTTCTTGATCATGGACTACTTGTTGAAGTGGCTGAGGACAGACCATTTCTTTTTTGGTACAGTGACTCTGTACCTTCCATATTCTTTTGATGTGTTGCATCATGCAATATTTTGGCCATAGAATCATTCAGTAATGCAAGCTGAGGCTTGAATTTTTCTCTTCAGTTCACTCAGCTTGAGAAATGCTGAATGTATTCTTGCCTCCTGCTTTTTAACTCCATGTCTTTGCACATTTCATTATAATAGCTGACTCTGTCTTTTCAAGCTGCCCTTGAAATTTTCTTTTCATCTCTTTGACTTCCTTATTTGTGCCTTTTGCTTTAGCATCTCTATGCTGCAAAGCAAGTTTCAGAGTCTCTTCTGGATTTCACTTTGGTCTTTTATTTCCTGTGTTTTTAACGACCTTTTGCTTTCTTCCTGTATAATGTTCTTGATGTCATTCCAAAGCTCAGTCATTCATGGCTAATGCATCATATCTGTTCTTGAGATGGTTTCTCTATTCAGGTGGGATATGTTCAAGGTCATATTTTGGCTCTTGGAGATTTGCTTTCATTTTCTTCAGCTTCAGCTTGAACTTGCACATGAACAATTAATTGATAGCGTGTTCCACAGTTGGCCCCTGGCCTATTTTTGACTGATAATCTGGAATTTCTCCACGATCTCTTTCCACAGATGTAGTCAATTTGATTCCTGAGTATTCCATCTGGTGAGGTCCATGTGTAAAGTCATCTTTTATGTTGTTGAAAAAAAGGTATTTGCAATGAAGGAGTGGTTGGTCTTGTTAAATCTATTATGCATTCTCCTGCATCATTTCTATCACCAAGGCTGTATTTTTCAACTACTAATCTTTGTTCCCAATGTTTACATTCCAATCACCAGAAATTATCAATGCATCTTAATTGTATGCTTGATCAATTTCAGATTAAAGGAGTTGGTTGTTGTTGTTAAGTTCTGTCAAATCAGTTCCGATCCACAGTGATCCTGAATAGAGTTTCTGAGGAGCAGCTGGTGAACTTGAACCACCAACCTTGCTGTTCAAACCAACTTTGCAGTCCAAAGCACTAACCCACGTCACCACATCAGGACTCTGTAGTTGGAGCTGGTAGCATTCTCCAATTTTATCATCTCTGACTTTGATGGTTGATGCATAAATTTGAGCAACAGAGGTATCAGCTGGTCTTCTTGTTTTTGCTGATCATCAAGTCTCTTCCGATTTACAGCAACCCTGTTTTGGGTTGTTGAGGCTGTATGAATTTATGAGAACAGAAAGCCTCATGTTTTTCCCATAAAGTGATTGGTAGGATTGTATTGTTTGACCTTGTGGCTCATGATTCAGTGACTATTGTACAGGGTCACTGCACTTCCTGGTTTTCTTAATATATGGATATTATCATATCACATTCAGCATTGTGCTTCAAGGTAGATCTTGAAATGTTCTTTTTCACAATGAATGCAACCCCATTCCTCTTCAACAGGACATTCCCATCCCCATCATAGTAAACCATATGACCATTTCAGCTCACTAATAATGCCTAGGCTGTCAATCTTTATGTATTCCATCTCATGTTTAATGATTTCCAATTTCCCTAGATTAATACTTCATACAGTCCACATTCCAATTATCAATGGATGCTGGCAGTTGTTTCCTTCGTATTTTGAGTTGTGTCCCATCAGCAAAGGAACGTCCCGAAAGCTCTTCTCCAGTCACATCATTAAGGTCCACTCTACTTAGATGAGGTAGCTCTCCCCAGTCTTATTTTGATTGTCGTCAACCTCAGGGGCTCAGCTCCCAGCACTACATCAATGTTCCTCTGCTGTTTGTACAGTTTTCAGTAGCTAACCATTAAGAAGTTGTCTGCCTCTCCTTCCTAATCTTAGTTTGGAATCCCCACTTAAACCTATCCATCCTGGGTGATACATAAACCAATCTACACTGGGTGATACCTGTCGGTGCTTTAAATACCAGTGGCATAGCTTCCAGCATCACAGCAACACACAAGCTATCACAGTATGACAAACTCACAGAACAGCTTCCTGACTCATGACAGCCCGACTTTTGGTGACCCCATGCACGACTGAACAAAATGTTGCCTTTAGCATCCCATGACTGGCTTCAAATCTGACTGTTATGATAAAACACAGTTTTGATTGACTGATTTCTAAAGCAGATTGCCAAACCTTTCTTCCTAGGCCATCTGAGTCTATAAGCTCCGCTAAAACCTCTTCAGTATGAGAGCAACATGGAAGCCTCCACTAGCAGGTGGGTAATGACTGCCTGAGGTGCACTGGCTGGGAAGTAAACCCTGGTCTCCCACATGCAAGCTGAGGATTCTACTATTGAACCACTGATGCTCCCATACTTAACTGGTTAGCTCAGAAATATGTGGAGTAAGCAGAATGAGAAAGTAGAAATGTCTTTGGCTCTGTGCACAGTCCCGGTTCCCCACACAATGGGTGAAGACCGAGGCAATGTGCCTCCCCTCCCCTGAGCAGCTCAGGCGTCCTCTGTCTCTCGCAGTTACTCATGGCTCAGTCCCCACATGAAGGCTCCATCTCCAGCATGGCTATGGCCTGGGTTTCCCTGAGGCCAGAAATCATTCAGAAACCTGGGAAACTGGAGGCACCCAGTAAGAGAACCCTGGATTCCAGCAAAGGCCTGTCAGGAAGAGCTACCAGCTTACCAGAACTCAGCCTCTGGGTGTTCTGCTGATCTTGCTGCTGTTGCTGCTGCCGTCTGGCCAACTTCTTCATCTGGTGAGAAAAGAACCAAAGGATGAGAAGTCAGGTGACCTGCAACAGGTTCCTGGGGTCAGCGGGGACCCAGAAGTGACAACTTTTACATGAGAAAGCTTTGTTGTAAAGCAGAGTGGCCGTTTCTCTAGCTTTGATGCAATAAAGAAGTCAAGCTTGAGGACTCAAACCTCAAATTTAGCTGCATCCCAGCTGAGGGACTTTTCTTCTCTGCTACAGTGGTTAAGAGGGCTCACTGAGAAGCAAGGGAGCAGTTTGTCTTTGCAGGGACAAGGAGCTCCTCTCACAAATAAAACCTGCTGCTTGACGTATGTGATGATTCTGTTCCACAGAAGGTAGTAAGTGTGTGAGCTGTGGCATCAGTAAATGAGTGCCCAAGGCCAGCCCTGCCTAGATGTGGAGCAAGGGACAGCTGACAGGATATGATTTGGGAGGTGCCACAAGACTCATGATCCCCACGTCTCCCTATCACCTGCTGGGTTCCTTGGGTTTTACAGTTCAGCCATGAGATTCATGCCTGTCTCCCAAAGCACCCTGATAACACAGATACTCCCTTAGTGAAGGAATGTTTAACCCAGTGTTTCTCAAACTGTGTTCTGTGGAATACTAGGGTTCACCGGACGTTAACATGCACTCTGAGGATGTAGTTGTGTAGGAAACACTATGTTTAAAAAACATTAACCAAGTTTCTTTACTGCAGGATTTCTCAGAGCTGTTCAACGTGCTCTATGCTTTCTGAATCCAGATGTTATAGGCAGTGTTGGATTACCCAACAAGCAAAGTAAGCATGAGCTTACTTATGCTTACTTACTAACCTATAGTGAATAGCTAAGGAGCTCTGGTAGCGTAGTGGTTACGAATCGGGCTGCCAAACTTAAAGTCAGCAGTTTGAAACTACCAGCTGTTCTGCAGGAGAAACATGAGGCTTTCTGCTCCTGTAAAGATCTACAGCCTCGGAAACCCTGTGCAGGGTCGCTATGGGTCAGAATTGTCTCTAAAGCACATAACCACCACCATAATGAATGGCTATACATTTTTTCACCAAATCAAATATTCTGCTTCTGGGTATGGCTGGCATCTGTCTCTCTCCTAAGCCCATAGCATCTTCCCACAGAAGCAAAGCCTCTTCAGATTTCCAATCCCTGACAAGGTAAAGCATAGGGCAGCACACAATTTCACATGGCTTCCCCCACATCTCTGCTGAAACTCATTTAGATGCCCAGTACAAATTAGTAAGTAAGCCTGTGCTTATCTTGTTTATTGGGTAATCCACTCCTGGCTACAGGGCTCTAGACCATCTTTAATCATACAACCCTTTTTTGATGGGATCCCCATCAGCAGTCCTGCTCTGGGGATTTCAGTTAGGCATATAACTGTGTTAACCATTAGCAGTCATAATCAAATATTAATTTAGCAGCTACCAAAGATCAGGATCCTAGAAAAATGGACTCCAGGACACATGAATTTCATGTGGAATAAATGAGGAAAAGGTCTAGGAGAAAGATCATTTCAGGAAAACACAGATCTTGGCAGGATGCAGATGGCAAATGGCAGTTTGGGCATATATGAGAACTTCAAAAAGTTTGTGGGGAAAATTATATTATCTTTTAATTCAACTTTATCATAGAGTTTTGAAGCCCACTCAAATTAGTGAGGCGCTGGGCACTGGTGTGTCAGAATGGTGTAAAGATATTCATTCTACCCACATCAGACTGGTGTCTTAGCTCAGTCAACTGTGTGTTATTTGGGTTTCTAGGGGAATTTTCATAATAACTTTGGTATCTGGGTTAAACAAGCATGAATTACAGAGCATACTTTTAGTTAGACACAGAAAGACACTAGCACATCTGGTTGGCTAGATTCACAGTCACAGCTACTAAGAAATTAATAGTCATTTGGCTAAAACAAATGCCTAGCCTGTTTCCATCCTGCAGGGCTGCTGTGGCTGAAATGATTGTTGATGACAGAACTGTTGAATGAAGAAAACTGTTCTAGCCAACGAATTCAATGAGAATTCGAAAACCTAGAGGCAAGTTCAAATGTCCTATTGCTATTAGTTAGGAAATCAGCAACCCAGAGACAGACAAGAGTAAGAAGCAGATTACCTTCGCTCTCTGATTCTGGAACCACACCTGAACCACACGGACACTCAGCCCTGTCTCTGCAGCCAGTGTCTCTCTCACCTTGAGAAAATAATATATATTACAAATAGAGAAACATCACAATCTCAGAGCAAGAGGCTTGGAACATTTCCTACCTAATGCAAGTGGAGGCCAACAGGTCACTCTTACAGAGGAACAGGCATAAACCAAAACACAGAGCATCACTTCTCTTCCGGTGGAGAGCGGGTCCGTCTCCAGGTGATTAAGAAAGGAATAATCATTCACTCAGATGTGCTGGGTTTCTTTCAGGCTAGAAGTTCGACCTTCATGTGGTTGCTAGTCATTAGCAGGGTCTGTTGTTGTGCCTTTACTATATATAATCTATGCATATGCATTAATGGACTGAAGGAAAACAGGGTAAATTTCACTTTGCAAAACTAAATAGCTCTCTCTTGCTCTCTTCTCTGGTCAAAATTCCCTGACCTACATTTTCTGTTTTCTCTATCATAGCTTTAAGAGATTTCAGTATCTTAATGAATATTCATTTTCACTGTTACACTACAGGTACATGAGCTCAGCCTGAAAAGTGGGAGCCATCTGGAATCTGACAAAGCATGGCAGGAAGCTGGGATGCAGGTGAATGCACAAGGCCATGCAGAGAGAGGATCATCAGGGACCAGATGATAAAGTGATGTTAGGTGCCATCAGTTGATTCCATTTCATGGAGACCCCATGTGTGAGCAATCGAATGGCTCCATAGGGTTTTCAAGGCTGTGACCTTTCAGAAGCAGATTACCAGGTCTGGCTTTTGAGGTTCCTCTGGATAGGTTCGAACAACCAACCCTTTGTCTGTACTTACCATTTGTGCCACCCAGAAAATAGGGAATAAAGACATATGTTTAAAATCTCCCCTCCACACGGACAGGCAGTAAGTGGGCTGGCGAAGTGGTGAGAAGGGTAGAGACAAGAGTGGGTCTGAGAGACACTGTCTCTCTTGGTTAGATTCGGGAAAGGAGCAGGAATTGAAGGAGCTACTTGAATGGATCAATTTGTGATTATAGCAAACCCGAGATCTTGAGAAGTACTTCTCCTTGATCACACCACTTGGACTGAGGCTTAGGAGAAGTGGGATGATGAGATTGGATTTTTAAACACTTCCTTCTGCTAAAGCCAATGAAAATAGCAGTCTGCACAGGGCTCCAACTCCACCTGTTGAAACCCTATCCATCCTTCAGAGGCCTGGCACGAAAGCCACCTGTTCCTCAAAGCCTCACCTGACTGCTCCCACAAAAGTGACCTTCCCCTTCCCTCAGTGCCCGCGGCTCTTGGCCGGCCCTTCTATTACAGTCCTTGGTGCACATCTCCCTCACGCAGGTGGCCTGGAGACTACCCACGGGCAAGCACTGGACACAGGGCGTACCAAGGCCCAAAGTTCAGGACACACAGTATTAAAGGCAAGTCTACTTTGAGAGTATTTCACTTTCTCCTGGACTCTCAAGGTGGTGCATATGTTTAACACACTCAGCTGATAACTGAAAGGTTGGAGGCTCAAGTCCACCTAGAACGGTCTTAAGGAGAAAGATATGACAATTTACTTCTGAAAAGTCAGCCATGGAAAATCCTCTGGAGCACAGTTCTGCTCGGACACGCACAGGATCACCAGGAATCTGATGAACTTGATAACAACTGGTTTCACTTTTCCCCAGTATCTCCTTGGAGCTTAAAAGCAGCAAGGGCAGGGAAAGAAAGAGCTCTGTAGTTGAGACTTTTCAAAGGTCACAGGCTGAGGTAGACTCTTACTGCTGGGCATCTATTCATACTCCGTCCCCTGGCTCTATGGGAGCCGTGAACCTCTCTACAGCATCCATGCTGTGCTCAGCCACATGGGCTGGTGGAAGATGAGTGACTATGATGTATGTGCCATCCAAGCAAAGGGTTTCAATGAGCTTGCCCAGTTTGACCTGGTCTTCTACCCTCTGCCATCCCCATCAGAAGAAAGGCATGTTCCATGTGGGGCTCCTTCAAGGTAGAGACTTGAATGAGAGACTACTGGAGCAGACCTGAAGCAAACCCAGCTTTGCCACAGACTACCCACAGCCTGGGAGCAAGAAGTAACTAGTCTCTGGGAGCCACTAAGATTTGGGGCTGCTTGTTATCATAGCAAAAGCTGACTAATGCAAATAGGGATGACGAAAAAACAACACTAACATTTTTTAATAGTTTCTTCCCTCCATGAATTTAAATAAATAATGTTATATTTTATTTTTATTGTGTAGAAGGCAATGTCAAAAGATGGCATATACTAGTGGCACAATGGTTAAGCACTTAGCTGCTAACTGAACGGTAGCAGTTCAAACCTACCCAGCAGTTCCAAATCTGACGCTGTAATCTTTACAGGAGAAAGATGTAGAGATCTGTTTTTGACAAGATTACAGCTTAGAAACCCCTGTGGAGTAGTTATCTTTATCACATGGGGTCACTATGAGTCAAAAATCAACAGCAGTCAATAAGACTGCTATGACAGAGTCTGCTAACTGTCCCCAATACACAGTCTTGTCTTCTTCCTACTAGTAGTTGATTCCCCACATTTTAGCAGGGCACAGGGTCACCCAGTAGACCTGGGGAAAGACTCACTCCCAGTATCCCTTGCAGGAGGTGTGGTCATGTGACTAAATCTGGACCAATGCCTATGAGTGAAGTTGATGCAAGTAACTCCTGGGTTGACTTGCCCTACTGACTGGGAAAACAATGACAACCAGAGCAGCCCCTGGACCCACATAATGGAATTGTGCCACCAACCTCAGACTGCTCACCTCTTAACTATGATATAAGAGAGAAATAAACTCATTATCTCATTAAGACACTTTTTAGAATCTGTTACAGCATCTTGGTCTATGTATCACTGGTTCCTGTTATTTTCAATATTCTCACTGCTTCCCATGAAATGAAAGGAGTAAGCAAGGACCCAGTTACAGCAATTTGGTGTTGTTGTTACGTGTCATCGAGTCAATTCCGACTCACAGTAATCCTGTAAAAGGGTTTCTGAGGAATGGCTTATGGATTTGAACCACTGACCTTGCAGTTCTAACTGACCTTGAGGTCCAGTGCTTATCCTACAGTGCCACACCAAGATTCCGTTATAGTGGTGCAAGCATAAAAGTATTAGAGGGTTCAACTACATCCCTGGGTCCAGCCTCAGTGCTTTCTGAGGTCTCCAGTGGGACACAGGGCCACCTGCACAGGCTCTGTCTGAACAGCCTGCTATTGTCTTGACCCCGGCAACCACCTACACCTCAGGAGTATCTATGATATATGCACAGATTTGGGACCCAATTCCCTTTCCACACCCTCTCCCCTCCTGTACCTTCCGGCATGGTTTGGAGGATACTTCAAATGAGGCCTTGAATGCTCTTCTCTGTTGGGTCGTCAAGATGGTTCTGGGACGTTTAGGGCGTTTATGGTCCTTACCATCCTCAGAGGCTCCTTTCCCTGTCCCGTGGGCTGACTTGCAAAGACTTTCCTCATCGTCACTTTTGCCTAAAAGCAGCAGAAAACAATGCACTAAGTCCCTGAAAGTCACTTTCTGGAGCTGTTTCTGAGGTCCACATTCTCAGCAGCACAGAGCATGTGAATGCAATAGCCTATATGGTATGGTTCGAAATCTCAAGGAAGAGGTTAAGAAAAGTACTTCTAAAAGCCAGGAGTCCGTACCAGAGTCCACCATTGCAGCTCTGGACTTTATTACGGAATGGTGTGCTGGTTCCATGTTTACTTACAGTGTGATCTTGGGCAAATCATTTTCCTCCCTATAACTCAGTGTCTTTATCTGTAAAAGACAGCTATGAGACTACTTCATCGGGGTGGCTGTCAGAATTGCATAATGCTGCTTGGCACATAAAGCTCAATGGTGTTGTTGTTAACCGTGATGAGTTGTTTATGACTCATAGCATCCCTGTATACAGTTTCCAAGGAGCAGCTGGTGGGTTTGAACTACTGACCTTGCAGTTAGCAATCCAGTGCTTATCCTACACCAGGACTCCAAAATGCTGGCTATTAGTATTGGTTCCCAGATGTCTTTTTGCAAGAAATGAGAGAGCTGTTAACTACAAGGACTCTTAACTACAACGTCAGCAGTTTGACTCCACCAACCTATTTGGGAGAAAGATGAGCCTTTATGCTCTTGTAAAGATTTAGTCTTGGTAACCTTATACAAGGTTGCTATGAGTCAGAACTGATTTGATGGCACACAGATCTAAAAAAAACTACCACCCGTAGTATTATGCTTCTTTAAAAAATCACCTATGTGAGACCAAACAGCCAACAATTACTTTAAAACAAAAATCAGAATGTAACAGGGCAGGAAAACTAGATTCATATGAACTCTAACAGCAAGAACAGAAATAATGAGAATGTTCACACACTGTGAAGCACATCGTCACAAATGCCATCCAACAACCTGGGCAGAAATTGTTGACCAGAAACCTAAACTACTGTGTATATGTTTACAAATAACACAATCAATATTATTTTTAAAGAAGAAAGACTAAATCTAGACACGCACTATATAACTTCCTAGACACAATGTCTGAAATTCTAGCCACTTCAAGGAGGCAGAAAATATTACTGTTTAAAAGGCCACAAAAGAACAGCATTAAGTTACCTGCAGGTGGAGATAACTGAGGATGGTCAGGTAACATGGATAATTCATCAGAATTGCTTGTCTATAAATAATAGCTCTCAATTAAAGTCATTGTAAAAATATGTGAGTTATTTCTAATTTAGATGCAATGAGCAATACAAGGGGTAAACTTTTTTTTTAAGAATTGAGTGAAAGTTTACAGGACGGATCATCAGTTTTACATTTAACAAATCATATACTTTGTTTCATTACAATGATTATAATTCCCTCCATGTAGTACTGTTAGTTAACAGTATCTCTCTCTATTCATTTTAGCTCTTTTTTTCTTTTTTTTCAAACACTCAGGCATATATAATAATTTACACCACCAAAGGGCACATTCTGCAAGTCTGCCTCCTGGCAGCCATCTCTAAGTCCCTCTCTTCCCATGAATCTAGAGTCCTCAGCTGTTCCCTCCCTCCATGTCCTCATCTCTGCCTCCATCTCTGGTGTCACTGCTTCTCTGGATAAGGTTTCTTATTCCACTTGTGCTCTCCTCCCTTGATGGTCCTAAGGTCCTTTGTTGTTTCTGGACTGTAAGATCAACTACTCCCCAAGGGGTAACTGTTTTTGGTGTGTGTGTGTGTGTGTTTTTAACTTTAAAAATATATAGTGTAGTAAAACATGTGCGATTTAAACCATGTTACATGTACAATTCAGCGACATTAATTACATTCCCCCATTATACTATCATCACCAGTATATGTTCCAAATATTTTAATCACATTTAACGGCAACTCCCTCACCCACCTGCCCATGTTGCTGTTGTTAAGCACCGTCTAGTCAGTTCTGACTCACAGCAACCTTGTATAGGGCTTCCAAGGAGCAGCTGGTGGGTGTGAACCACCAGCCCTGTAGTTATAACAGTCCAGAGCTGATCCTACAGTGTCACACTGGGAGTCTTCACCCACCTGCCCTGGTAAGCTTTCAATAAACTTTGGTCTCCATGCATTTGTCTATTCTAGATATTTCTTACAATATTGGTCCTTTTGTGACTGACTGGCTTTGCGCAGTATAATGCCTTCAAGTCCATCCATGTCATAACCATGTATCAGAACTTCATATCTCTTTATCACTAAGTAATATTCCACTGCATGGATATGTTGTTGTTGTTCAGTACCGTCAAGTTGATTCCAACTCATAGCAACCTTGTATAGGGTTTCCAAGGAGAGGTTGGTGGATTTGAACCCCCGACTTTGTGGTTCGCAGGCCAGTGCTTTTCCTTACAACGCCACACCAGGACTGCACATTTTATTTATATATGTTGATGGACACTGGGTTGTTTCACCTTTTGGCTATTGTGAATAATGTTCTTTTTGTTTTCGATCAAGACCAGTATGCCAAGGTCCTCTCTGGTGTCTTAGTAATCTTCCACATTTTCCTACCTAAACACAGTCAAGACAAACTGTCATGCCTCACGCAACCCTAGCGCACTTCTGCTTGGCTTCCTGAACCATCACTACCACTCCTGCGTTGTCATGGGCCTCTCATGCATCTGTCTCCAGTCCCGGGTACCCAGGAGCTCTCAGAGGCCAAACATCTGCACCGTCACTGCCAAGACAGCAGGACCCGGGGCATGAATGCAGGAAGGGACGAGTAGGGGTGTGCAGGTCTCAGTGCCCCCTCCGCGGTGGGAACAATGTCTCCGGCGTCGGTTCCCAAGGGGTAACTTTTAAAATAAATAAAGCTCTCCAGTATAGTCCTTCCCAGACTACCTCTTCATTGCACAGACTTTACACACCTATAAATGTGGCGCTGTGGGTTAATGCGTCAGACTGCAAAGCCATTTGAACCGCAAGGTTGGTGGTTCAAGCTCACCAGCTGCTCCTCGGAAACCCTATACAGGGTCACTATGGGTCAGGACCGACTTGACAGCATTTAACAACAACAACAACAACTTGTTTCTAAGAGTCCTAGTGTGGTGTTGCAGGTTAATGTACTGGACTGCAAAGACGTTTTGAACCATAAGGTCAGTGGTTCAAGCTCACCAGCTGCTCCTCAGAAACCCTATACAAGATCACTAAAGGTCAGAACTGACTGGACAGCACTTAAAGACAACAATACTAAGCTTCTGGGAAATACCAATGTGAGAGAGACTTCTTACATTTGCATTCAAAGCCTTAGGCAATTTTGTGCCCAAATTACCCAAACAAGAACCACATGAATCTCTGGATCCTCCCAAATCTGAGAAGTCCTATTTCCTCCAGTGGAAAATCCTCACCCCAAGGTATTCCCCCAGCCCAGTCCCCTTCCCCTGATTCCAGTGCCCTTCCCCTGATTCTGATCCCCTTCTGACCAACTTCAACGAAGCCAAGCTGAAGGGATACACAGTTTGAGTCAGGCATCCTTGCTCTTCATGTAAAGGTGGTGCATTTGCACAGGCTGTTTTAGTTTAGACTATCATTGTGTTCTAATTTATGGGGGGTTTTCATCCTGGCCCTTTGCCAGAGCCAAAAGTTATTTTATCTGAAAGAACAGTGCCTTATTTTCTCCATGAGCATTTAAAAATACATTTGAACATGAAGGAATACTAACTATAAGTTCCTTGAAGATGTCATTGGAAAGGAACTGGATGTTAGCAGGCCTCATTTTCCATCCCAGTTTGTCCCTTGATACAAGTACAGTCCATGCAAAACATGTCATCTCAGTGTGTCTCAAAGCTCCTCTTGGCACATCACTCTCTGCTATTGCATCGAATCCAACTCACAGTGACTCAGAACTGTTCCTTAGCATTTCTGAGACTGTGAATCTGGACAGGAGCAGATAGCCTCATCTTTCTTCCTTAGAGTTACTAGTGGGTTTGGACTGCAAACCTTGCAGATTAGCAGCTCAATACATATTGGTTAAAGCACTTGGCTACTAACGAAAACATCTATGATCAAACACACCAACTGCTCTTCAGAAGAAAACTGTGGCAATCTGCTTCCATAAAGACTTACAGCCTTTCAGCCTCTAAGGGAGCAGTTCTACTCTGACCTACAGACTCACTGGCAGTGGGTTTGGTTGGTTTGGTTACGTATTCAGACCAGGTTAGCTATTCACACATCATGTCATTACTCCTATATTCTAACTCCACCTGCTAAGTGAGTGTCATTGTCTCCAGTATTCAGATGAGGTACCTGAGACTTAGTGAGATGATATATTTTGCATAAGGGGTTGTACTTGACACCGTGTCACCAGGATTACTTTCTAAGCACATGTTATTGTTGTTGTGTGCTCTCCAGTGAGTTCCAACTCAGAGCAACTCTCTAAGGGATTCTGAGAGTGGCTGGTGGGTTAGAACTGCCTACCTTGCAGTTAGCAGTCCAGTGCTTATCCTACTACACCCACATCAGGGAACTCCTGGTAGTAGTGATAGGACATATAGGATGTTCTTTATAGCATGTCTTTGCTCTCCTTTCCACTCCCCTTAATAGTACAAATTTTAAAACCCAAAGGATTAAAGAAAAACAAAGTTAAAGCAAGAATTCTCTTGATGAGGGGTGGTCACACTCTAGCTTCTTCAACTTTGAGGCTGTTCTTTTCCAGGGACAATGCATTATATACTCATCATGGTCTACAAACTTGCTCTATTAAAGACTAGAAAGTAAATAGTTTCAGTTTTGCAAGTCATATGATCTCTATTGCAACCAATCAGCAACTAGAACCAGAGCGGCCATGGTGGTGGTGGTAGATATGTGCCCTCGAGTCACACAACCACCACCCTGTATAGGGTTTTTGAGACTGTAAATCAGAGCAGAAAGCCTCATCTTTCTCCCATGAAGCGGCTGGTGGATTTGAACTTCTAACCTTGCAGTTAGCAGCCTAATACGTAACTCACTATACTACCAGGGCTCTTTAAAGCAGCATGATGTTATTT